CAGTATATTATGTTGAAGGAAATAGATGACACATACCCACTGCTATCTTTAGTAAGCAGAATTGACAGTTAAGACGGACTCAAGCAGGTCCAACAGCTTTAGCTGTATTATCACTTACCTATATAACCGATTGTATGCTACGGTTATCAAACAAGGGAAACTACTTCTTCTTTTTTCCCTTTCTTCCTCTATCGTTTCTCTGTTCTTCCAGTTCTTCTCTGATCTTCAATCTTTCTTTCTTGAAGTCTCTTGTGCTTTCATGGTATCAAAGCCAAAGGTGTTATCAAAGACTATGGCAACGTCTTCTCAAATAGTCTCCATCGCCGCGCCTTCAATCACCATAGCCGTTCCCATTGGACTCTCTATTACTGTCAAACTCTCTAGCAAAAATTACTCAATATGAAAAAATTATATTCTTCCTTTGCTAAACAGCTACGATCTACACAAATACATTGATCAAGATCCACCATTGCAACTGATCAATCATGAACCCAATCTGATGTATCAACTATGATGGCGTAATGATGAACAAGTCTTAGGGTTCATGAACTCCATCTCCAAGATCGTGCTCTCCAAGCTTGACACCAAAACTACATCCAAGGATCTTTAGAATGCTATACAAAAAGTCTATTCTTCCTTTGATTGTTCTCGAATCATGGATCTTCAATGTTGCCTTCACAACACCATCAAAGGCAATTTGTCCATTGAAGAATACATTCACAATTTCAAAAAGCTTACCAAAGAATTATCTTTAGCTGATAAACCAGTGGATGAAACTTCACAAATTTGTGCCTTCCTTTGAGGACTCGAGTCAAAGTATTCAGCCTTCAACATTAGCATCAATGCCAATCTCGATCACCTTAGTTTTGAAGAGATTTTAGCAAGCCTTTGCTCATATAAAGCCAATCTCACCTATCATCAACAACATAGCCAAAATTCCATCACCGATCTTATAGCACCCTTGGTAAATTTAGCACAAACTACTCAATCTGATAAAAATAATAACCCAAATCTCAATTGGTAATCCACAAATAGAAGATCAAGGAACAATCATAGCAAAAGAGGTAGAGGTAATCGCAATTGACAATCTTGCTGTCAACTCTACTAATAATTTGGACATAGAGTTTTTCAATGCCAAGAAAAGTTCAACCCCACCTTTGTTCCCCAATAATAAGTCTTCATTATCATGAGTTAATAATTAGTAAATAATATATTTTTAGTCTTAACTCATGATAAATAGACTTATATTTGTGTTAAATTATGAAAAGTAGTTTTCAGTTGATTAACGTAAATTTTTAGCTAATTATGTGATTTTTTATGAATTTATATAATTTTTATAGTCCTATTTTTTAGATAAAGGAAGAAATTAAAATAAAAATATAGCAAAAGGGGAGGACTTGCTGGCCAGCCAAACCTATAAGCGGGTCGGAAGCACAGTCAAGGGGAGCCGTGAGCAAGGGCTTGAGCGGCTAGGACAGATGGGGGCACGCGTGTGTCACTCCCCTTCCACATCACTAGTGGTCAGTCGGCTGTGGGATAAGAAAGTGGTCATACACGCAAGAGAAAGAGACTCATTATTTAGAAATGTGATATTACTATATATTCACCCAAAACTTCGGCGCACAAGCGATGTAGGATTAAACTCGCATCACACCTTCCCCTAAAAAACTTCGAAGATTTGAATACCTAAACTATCCCTTCTTTATAATAAAGATATACCATGATGACGTCACTTGATAAGGGCATTAGAGTACTTATTTTAATCTCTCTCATATAGGCGGACAACCAGCGTAGGTTCAAATCTTCCCATAGCCAAAATTCGTATTTTTATCTGATTATCGTGACTTTTCTATAAATTCCTGGTAAAAGATTAAGCCGTCAGAATTGTTGAATCATCGACAAAAATCTCGTCAACGTGATTCATAGAGTATTGTTACTAAAATTGTTGAACGATTTGTGATAAAAGGATCGTGAATCCATCTAATAAATCATCTTTGATTAACTGACAAACAAGCCATCATCGAGAAGAGGATGATCCTCTATGAGACAAGTCACCACCTCTTGAGAGCGTACCGAATACAATGAAGAGCCTTCTCTTGCTGTGTGGACCTAAAGATAAAGCTCCCTAACATGCATCCCACTTCTATCCAACTCCTCTCTATTGGGTGACAGTCGTCAGAGAGCTACAAAGTTACCATTTTTCTGCTCCGTCGGGTGACAGTTACTAGTGACGATTCGACAACCCATTTCATTGATCTCTAAACTTCGCAAAGGGATTTGGAGATTGCCCACGTCATCATTGTCCAAGAAGAGCCTTTGAGGCTATGGACACTACACGACGATCCTCTCGAATACTCAAGATTCCAGTACATCGCCGATGTATCGTTGCCGCGACACCAAAACTTTATTTTCTTGCTTTCAACTTAATTTTTACTTTATTTAATAATAATTTGTGTGATTCAAATTATCAAGTCATACTTCATTCAATTACGATTCTTCTGGCTTTTATAGATCTTAATTTGATCAATTAAATTGTCTATAATCGCTTATGTAAGAATTGCTGGACGTACCTCTATTTCTGCCCAATTCGCGTTCGTTAGGTGCTGATGTCATCTTGACATCCGCACCCTTATTTCTCTTTTTCGTGAATTTTAAATATATTTTATTTTTATTTTCTTGTATAAAATTCATAGAAAATCATATTCTTTAAGTAAAATTCTAAACAATTACCTAATATTATATTACATCCTTATGATCAACTTGGAAAATTATCACTATTTTTAGAAATTTTATTAAATTATAATTGATATATTTATTCAGAAATACTTCTAAATATCTAGAAATTAGTATTTTTTAGTTTTATAAATTTTAAACTTGCGTGATTTACTATACAATGACTAAGTCACATCACTCGAAAATAACAATAATTCTCCTTTCACCTACCTATTCTGAATCTTCCACACCTCAACCCTCAACCTCAAACATACTTGGCCACTACTTACGATGCACAACCGACTCTTTCAAATTGGTATCTAAATAGTGGTGCCACACATCATATCACCTCTGATCAAGGCACTCTTCAATATCACACTCCATATCAAGGTTGTGATCAGCTCCAAGTAGGTAATGGCATAGGTATGACTATCTCCTCCACTAGATCTACCGTCTTAAAAACTCATTCTTCTCCTTTAAAATTAAATATTATCTTACATGTTTCTCACATTAAGAAAAATTTATTATCTGTTAAAAGATTTACAACTGATAATGATATTTTTATCAAATTCGATGCTAATTTTTACCTTGTGAAGGACGAGAAAACCCACAAAATCCTCCTCTGAGGGACAATTGAAGATGGTCTCTATCTCCTACAACCTCACATTCAGCCATCAGCCTACTTGGGGGAGAAAACAACCATCTCCACTTGGCATCAATGCTTAGGACATCCTCAATTCTGAATTTTGAACAAATTGATCAATGAACATGGTCTTTCTTTTGTTTCATCTTCCTAAAAATAACTTTTGTTATGCTTGTCATGTTTCAAAGTCTCACAAATTTTCTTTTCCAAATTCTTCTCATACCACCACTAAACCCCTTGAATTAATTCATTCAGATCTATGGGGTCCATCACCAATTGCCTCGCATTTCGGTTTTTTATATTGCATGATATTTATTGATGATTATAGTAAATTTACCTGGTTATATCCACTTAAAAATAAGACTGATGTATGTCAAACCTTTCAAGAATTTCAAGCTAAAGTTGAACGATTATTTATTCAAAAAAATTATTTTCAAACTAATTAGGGTGGTGAGTTTCAAGCGTTGACCAAACTTTTTAAGGAATAAGGGATTCGTCATAGGATATCTTGCCACATACTCCTCAATAAAATAGTATTGTTTAGAGAAAACATAGACACCTTGTAGAAACCACCTTATCTCTCCTAAAACAAGCTTTCATGTCTCATGAATTTTGGGATGAAGTAATATGTACTACCACTTACCTCATAAATTGCATGCCTACTACGTATCTTAAAATTTAAAAGTTCTTTTGAAGTCTTATACAAAATCAACCCGGATTATCTCTTCCTTAAAACCTTTGGATGCCTATGCTACCCTTACACTAGACCTTATGCCCTACACAAGCTAGATAATAGATCTGAAGCTTGTATCCTTTTAGGCTATAGCTCCCAGCACCATGACTATCAATCTAAGTCTCTACAATTAGGCATAATTTACATATTTTGACTTGTCATCTTCTATGAAAATGTCTTCCCACATTCCACCACATCTCACACTCCCACAACATCTTCCACAACTGATAGAGGCATTCCCAGATCATATCCAATATATACATCAATTCGAATCCAAACTTCTAACTAATATTCAATCTCTATTCCCATTCTTATTAGGTCAATACCTACCTTAGAACCTATGACTAATCAAAATCTAGTCATACCACATCCCATTTGAGAAGCCTCATCAATACATTCCTCAAAAAATACCTCTTGACTAGACCCTACCTCATCTTCACCCATCACCCTGCACAATTCATCACCGTTGACTAAGTCACCGTTCCAAACACTAGTAAACCAGAACTCTCAAACAACTTCTTCCACTCCACTTGTAAAATTTTAAAGGATTAGTACCTTTTATAGAGACACTACCACTGTCCCTATGGCTTCCTCCTATTTAGCAACATTATCCACAAAACATCCTCTTCCTCAATGCTATCATCTTACATTATCTCATAAAGAACTAAATAATTTCACTTCTGCTTGGAATCATCCCCCGTAGACAAGCCATGAACTTCGAGAATGATGACTTAATTAATAACAACACTTGGACATTAGTTCCACAACCTTCCAATACTAATATCATAAGCTGTTAATGGGTGTTCTAGCTAAAATTAAAATCTGATGGCTCTATAGACAAATATAAAGCCCAATTAGTAGCCAAAAGCTACTCCCAACAAGAAGGATTCGATTATTTTGATACCTTTTCTCTTGTTATCAAAATCACAACAGTAAGAATTCTCTTCTCTATTGCTAGTAGTAAAAAATGGTACATCCACCAATTGAATGTGTCAAATGCCTTCCTACATAGAGATTTGATAAAAAATATCTTCATAGTCTAACCTCAAGGTTTCCAAAATTCTCTCTTACCCCATCATGTTTGTAAATTAAACAAGTTTATTTATGGTCTTAAATAAGCCCCGAGAGCTTGGTTTTCGAAATTATCTTCCTAACTAATTAAATTAGGTTTTTCTAGATCGAAAACTAATCCCTCTCTTTTTTTCTCTACTTCTGAACATCTTTTTATTCTTATATATGTTGATGATTTATTACTCATTGGACCCAACCAACAATTCATAAATTCTATTATCTCATGTCTTCATAATACTTTTGCCATTAAAGATCTTGGAAAAGTAAAAATATTTTCTTAGTATAAAAATTCTGCAAGTTTTCACAAGTTTCATCTTGTCTCAATCCAAGTACCTCACTACTATTCTTCAACGAGCCCACATGGATCAATGCAAGCCCCTTTCCACTCCATGGTCAATCTCAACAACTCAACTTAAAATCAACAATGCCAAGCCTGATCTAACCTCCTATAGTAAAATCCTAAGGGGTCTGTAATACTTCACCATCACTTAGCCAGACATAGCTTATGTACTCAACTGAGCCTACCAGAAGATGCATGATCCCTCTTCTGAAGATTGGCTTCATCTAAAACATCTCCAGCAATATCTAAAAGGATCCATTTTCTTTGGTCTATATTTTACTTCTGATTCACCTCTATAGCTTATAGCTTATAGTGATGCTAATTAGACCAACTCCAAAGAAGATAAACAATCCATCAATGGCTATTTGGTTTACCTTGGCTGAAATCTCGTGTCTTGGTCTTCCAAGAAACAACTTACCATCTCTTGATCAAGCACCAAGGCAAAATACAAAGCCATAGAAAATACAGCACCGGAGCTCATTTGGATTCAATCACTCCTTAATGAGCTTTGCATCACTACAACAAGTACTCTCATTTTGTTTCGTGACAACATCAGCATCACCTACCTATTGACAAATCTAGTCTTTCACGCATGCATGAAGCACATCGAAATAGATTTTCACTTTGTGCATGACAAGGTTGCTTTCCAACAGCTTCAAATCAGCTTTTTACCTAACACACATCAACTTGTTGATATACTAATGAAGCCTCTTCTCAAAAATCAGTTCCATTGGCTAAAGAACAATCTTAATGTTCTTCTGACCATCAACTTGCGGGGGATGTTGAAGGAAACAAATGACACGTACCCACTGTTATCTTTAGTAAGTAGAATCGACAATTAAGATGAACTCAAGCAGATCCAACAACTCTATATCACTTACTTATATAACCGATTGAACACTAGGTTTATCAAATAAGGGAAACTACTTCTTGTTTTTCCCCTTTCCTCCTCTATCGCTTCTCTATTCTTCTAGTTCTTCTCCTCTGATCTTCCATCTTTCTTCTTGAAATCCCTTGTACTTTCATATTCTAGGTTTTTCGGCTTCTTAGAAACAAAGTTAAAAACCTACACAAAAAGGCAACATTATTTCCCTAATTAAGAAAACACATAACACATCATTTGACAACATAGAGCATACTACTTGATGATGGAGTTATGCTTGGATTAAAAACAATAGGGCCTATATCATTTGAATTTGACCCTATATACTAAAACTCCCAGATATGTCACGTGAAACCACAGATTCCAAGCACTCTTTCAATTGCACGACCACTTCACTCATCTTTGGTCTACTACCAGACGTAGGTGATGTACACGCCATGGCAACTTGGACTATCTTTGATAAAGAATTAAGATCGTAATCTCCATTTAATCTTTGGTCAGTTATGCTAGATACATCTCCTCTTTCCAATCTAGACTGCACCCATGGCACTATTGGAGCACTTTATGCATCATGGCTGATTGGAGGCTGGTTGGTTATAAGTTCCAATAGGACGACTCCAAAACTGTATACATCACTCTTCTCGTTCAGCCTATTTGTTTGATAGTACCTGTAACCAAAGATGTCCAAATTCTGTTTACTTCATATAATATAATTTTTAAAATTCATTATTTGCATCTATTGCGAGAGTAAAGTCTATATGAAAGTTTGAAAACTTCACATACTCAGGATCAAGATATCTTGGAGTGCCAACAACTGCAGTTGATATATGAGTGATATCTTCATGACAAAATAGCCTAGATAAACCAAAATCTCCTAATTCAGCTTCAAGCTTTGCACTTAACAAAATGTTTCCTGTCCTTACATTTCTATGAACTACAGATGGCTTGCAAAAGCTGTGCAAATAGTAAAGTCCTACAAGTGAAGATTTCATAAGTAGTATCTCAATGGGGAAACTAGAAAAAGGAAATAGGTACATATAGATACAAAGTATTTTGAAATATTGATACCTTGAGCCACATCTATTGCTATTCTTAGTCGCATGTCCCAACTTAGTCTGATGTTGCCATCTCTGTTACCTATTTCCATGTAAACGTGTGTTCAACATGCACAACGAGCCAGCAAAAGAAGGAGATAGAAAGAGAGAGAGAGAGAGAGAGAGTGAGAGAGAGAGAAATTGCTCCTCCATGATAAAAGTGTTACAAAAATACATAACTATTAAAAATATATAAACCATAGAAACCTGATAAGTGATCTGAGAGTGAGCCTTTCGGCATGTACTCATAAACGACTGCTAGATTATTCATGTCAGCACAATACCCTAGCAAATCCACTAGATTTTTATGGTGGACCCTCGACAAGATTTGGGCCTGAAATTCAAAAAAATCAATTGTTTTGATTTTAGATCATTACATAGCAATTTAACCCTGGAAAATGAGGAAAAAACTATTAATATTTTAGTCATTTTCCCATCTCCATAATTTATGACTTACTTCTACAAGAAACTCTTTTGCTTCTTGGGAAGATTGGGAAAGCATCTTTACTACAACTTGTCTGTCATCATTTAACAATCCATAGTAGACAATTCTAAAACCTTCCCTGCCTATCATACACTCAAAGTTTCTTGTAATGTTTACTATTTCAGAGAACGAGAATTGATGCCTCTCCAAATCCAAATCTTGTTGTCGCCCTGTCACTTGAGGACCTATGTTGTCTCTTGAATTCATAATACGTATATCTTGAGTTGAAGAATGAAATATGTCAAAACGATGCCAAGAAGATATTGCATTGCTAATCCATGATTGAGTAAAACAAATATTAAAATCAGCATACGAATATTGCCATAATCGTCAGTTCACTTTGTACAATACCTCGCTTTCTTCCTTTAAGTCTCCATCCCAGTATAAATGTTCCGAAGAGAACAATGCTAGATACACATATTCCTACCATAAGGAGAATGATGCTCTTCTTTTGTCCATTTATCATTTCACATGAATCTACTTTGTTGCAAAGTTTTGTGTTGCCATCAGTGCTGCATTTTTAACCAAACAAACATGGAGCATAAGTGTTTAAATTGCAGTAAAACCATAATTTTGAAAACCAATGGGGCAATAAGCACTACCATATGAATGAATGTTTAATACTTAAATCTCATCTTATGCATCGCTTACATCATATAGCAAAAAGTCATTTTATTACTTGATTTGAAGTTAAAGTCCATGCATATTCACTGTACAGTAAAAAAAATATGAAAATCACAAAATTTCCAACATGATTTTCTATGATCAGTTTATAACGTTTTTCTTTGTGTCATAATTTTTTGAAAAGGGATTATCAAGTCTCCGAATTTCTTATTAATTCGCAAATAGAAAAGCTAAATGCAGTACTAGATGCCCATTCAAGGTGTCCTTGAACATCATCCTTATTTCTTCCAACTCCTTACTCATCTAAATGCAACTATAACTAATACAGCTTTTTTTTGGGTCTGGTTCAGTCGCATTTGATCTCTCTAATGTCTAGTATCGATCAAATTGATAGATTTGGTGGAAATTTGATCCCTTTTTTATTTATCTTTCGAGTTGTAGCTATTCATCATTCAGAAAACATCTGCCTTGAAGATCATTCATATAAGTTGTTGGTCATGTACCGAAGAGTTAAAATTTTTGGGAGATTTATCATTTTCAAATCTTTTGCGCAAGCATAGACCACGATTCATCTAGATAAAGGGGTTACCTTGCTGACAATGTCCCGTTTTGTGATTTTTTGTAAATAATTTCAGGTATCTTTCCTGTTAGTTGGTTGTTTGCCAAGTTCCTGCAAAATAGAAAAATCTATCTCTAACTCTTGCGTCAACATATTTCTGAACTAACGAAGCCAAGGGTTTCAAGAAGCTACAAGACTTGAAGATTCGGCAGCTCTCCGAGATCACTAGGAATTTCTCCAGTCAAATTGTTCTGCGATAAGTCCCTGAGATGAAAGGAGGAAAATATAGCAGCCAACTTCAACGAATGTTAATCGGACTAACATCGAAGGAAGTCCATGAACCGGGCACCATAGTCAATGCCCAGATAAAAAATGTGCCAGACGCAGTATCGGCCGAGTCCTCCGAACTTGTGGTGGCCATGGGGCATGAGAATGACAGCAGTGACATGATAACCCGGTCCTTATTTCACCCAATCCAAAAGATCAGACCCTTCATGTCGACGACGACCAGCTCATTGACACCCTTCGGATATAATTTTATCCAAATCCCTCGAAGAAATACTATGCACATTATCGATTTATCTTCAGATAAATTCAATACTATAGGACCACACCATCTGATCAACCTCAAATTAGGGAAAAGTTCAAGAACACTCACAACGTCTTTAGAGCCGTGAGATTGACTATAAACTGAGAAATGCCGCCGGCCAATCCACTGTGGGGTAAATTTCTGCGAGGAATTTCAACACCCTTTCAATGTCCGAGGTTGTGCTAAACAACAGGATTGATGTACATTATGTGCTGCCCCCAGTGATATTTTCCAGGAGAAAAGCTCACAGAGAAACGATCCGAAGGTTCTCCGATGCATCGTAGCCGCAGCTTACACCTTCCCACGTCATATTTCGGGGAAAGCACGGGTCCCCTTGCCAATTCTTCTTCACTTTGTAGAAATCTTTAAACTTCAGGATCGCGTTAGCTGTCACGTAGGAAAAAATAGAATCACTTTAATATATGTGACAGCTAGGCAATAATGACGCCTGGCCATAATGATGTGAAAATAAATCGATTGGGATTAAATAGAAAAGCATGGCCCTTTATTCATGCGTGTACTTGTTTAGCTGTTTTAATGATAGCCGCGAAGAGCGTTTCACCGAATGCTTAGCCGTGATCCTCGATTCCAACCACATACCCTGATGTGTACAAGAGGAGTGAAAACGGCGACTCACCGTCGCGGGCGTCGGTGGGCGACTCCTCCAGCTGTTTCAGGCTGTACACCTCGCGGGCATTGATGATGGGAGGTAGTGTAGAATTTGCCGTGGCCTCGAGCGTGAAGTTATACGTCGTTATTGTTCTCGCCCTGTTGGTATACAGAGTCATGGCAGTCATGTACTTCGGCCTGTATGGCCCATACCACAGTTCACCGTTCAAGAATACGTTGAACTCCCTCGTCTCGTTGGACCCAAGCTGCTGGAGCTCCGCGAAGTGCATGAATACGTAGAGCTTTTCCTCGGGTCCACATGACAACTTGAAGGCCAAGCTCTTGGCGACGGTCGCCGTCGTCAGAACGTTCGCCGACACCCGTGATATGTCGCCCTCGGGTGTGTTGATGTGCCCGTCTGTTCTCACCGTCCTCCACCCCGTCCGGTTAGAGGCTATGAACCAGATGCGGTCATAAGGATCCGCCGGAAACCTGTCACCGTATTTAGTCCCCAAGGAGAGAGAGAGAGTTAGAAAGAGGGAGACGGAGCCACAGAGCGACAGATTAGGTGCTCTGACCTCGTGCTTTTGCTTCCACCATAGTCGACCCGTTTCTCGTGGAGGACCAGCGCCTGGGATTGTTTGACGATCGGATACAGGAAATCTGGAAGGGGCCTCACCTCCAGGACGGAAATGAAGGGGGTCCCCATACCAGTGTTCACCACGCAGACCTGCATCACGTTTGCGGGGGAGATGGCGATGATCTCCGCTATCACAGTGTCGTCCGCCAGCGTCTGCACGGTCTGCCAGACGTTTACGTCGAGGTACAGATCGAACTCCGGCGCCTGGTTCTTGCCGTCGTGATTGCCGTACAAGAACCCGTCTCTTACCAGGTACTTGCCACCCGCCTCGATGGGGCCAATCGTGTAGCAGTTCCGAGTCACGTTGGGGAAGCTCCGCAGAGTGAAATATCTGTTGGAATAATCGCACGTCTGTTAAATCATCTAACTAAAACGCAGGGCTGCCGGCTGCTGCCATACCTCTGGGCGAGGGAGCTGATGTCGGGCGCCGAGGGGACCGCCACGTTTACGCCTCCGTCGACGTACCCGGTGTCCGGCGAGTAGACAATCCCCGAGAACTGATCTGTGTAGTTTGAGCCCCCCTCCAAACCGCAGTCTATGCTGATGAATCCTGCAAAGATTAGAAAATTGGTTCGTGATGATGAAGATCAGACTTCCGTCTGAAGCCGCGACCAGGAGAGTTTCTTTTACCTGAGCCTAACTGGCCGTGCGCCGTGGTGGCCATCCACAGGAAGCACAACAGCAGCAGCAAACCCATCGCCGCCGCTTTCGTGCGTGTGTTGTTCTTCAGCATCATCCCCAATGTGAATTTCTGACGATGTCCCGAGAGTGGAGGGGAGCCGCAGGCAGGCCGCCAGTGGCGATAACGCATCAAGATTCCCCTATTTCGGCTGCCGTATCCGGGTAAACGGCACCAGTGGTCGGAATTCTCCGGACAGAGAGGTATCACCTGTTGGCTCCCCTTCAGTCATCTCGGTTTCCTTGAGCTCAACGCATCGTCTTCACAAGCGGTTCCCTTGGGTAAAGATTTGACATGTACCCACCATTCTTCGCGTTGATATTTTTGCTCGCATTGATCCCGATGAATTAGGGAAGACCAGGCCTTAGGCGCGTGTGATGCACGGCCAGCCATTTTAGTATCTGACTCGGATTTGAGGAAAAACTTGGAAAGGAACAAAGAACCGGGTCAACGGCACCCGGGCTGGGAAATCTCCGGAAGAGATGCATCAGCTGTTTGTTGCCGTTCGGTCTTCTCGGTCTTCTTTGTTTTCACAGGCGAAGGTTGCCTTGAGTAATGGGTGGACAACTATCCTCCATTCTGCGCGTCGACATTTTTGTTCGTTTTGATCCCGACGCATCAGGGAAGAGATGCTTTCTTAAGTGCGTGTGATGCACGCCCAGCCCACTTCGGGATCCGACTCGGGAAAGGAACAAAGAAGCCGAAGCTTGCCCTAACCTTCTCTAGACAGAGAAAGAGAGACAGAGGATAGACCGAAAGAAAACAGGGACAAAAATAATCATGTAACGAGAAAAGAAGCTACGATCATTCAAGGCATAGTCTGTCATGCAAAGGAGGCTCAAAGTGAAGAAGGCTGCGCTCTGAAGTTGTCGGGTCCTTCAGGATCCGACCAAAATGAGTTGAAATGAATGTTTTGACCAATACATATGATCTCTCTCTCTCTCTCTCTCTCTCTCTCTCTCTCTCGCTCTCTGTCTCACACACACACACACTCAATCTTTCTCTCTCATTCTCTCTCTGACGTTATCGCCGTCGGGTGCATAAGGTCTGATCTCTTGGCTGTTCGTCCTCTTTAGTCATCCAATGTGACACAAATGGCCTGTTCGTATCAACTCAACGCAACTCGGGCAAAGCCGGACATGAAGAACGGCGATGGCTTTGTCCGCAACGCGTCGCCGAACCGGTCAACACAGAAAATGGAGAGGGAAGGAGAGAGACGGGGAGAGAGGAGGAGAGGGAGAGAGACCGATTTTACTGGGCAAGACCTCAGAAACTGAGCCGAAAGGAAGGGGCTGCAGTGGTCCCGGCCGATTGACGCCCCCTTCTTCATGGGCCTGTGGTGCCCTAACACACACACCTAAAGCAACCCACCACATGAGATCTCCATGACAATGAGCAATCACCTTTTCCGAGCACATAAATGCCTCCCAAAGTATATAATACCCAACACATGAGGCAATCCGAGAGTGAGAAAACCCAAGATGTAGATACAGAGACAGAGACAGAAACACAGTGCTCTCTCTCTCTTTCTCTCTCTCTCTCTCTCTCTCTCTCTCTCTCTCTCTCTAACTCTCATCATCATCATCTCACTAGGCGGCCTTGTCCATAAGCTGGATTGGTGCCAAGATGTTCGACTTGCTGGTCTCAACCACGCACCCATTCATGACCATCTCCTCCAGCATGAAGTGCGCCTTCTCCAGATGGAACATGATGTCCAGCTCACACTGCAAAGAAGGACGCGAGCTGAATCAAAACTAAAAGATGACCAGGATGACGGCAAGGTCACAAGCAGATTTGGAGAGAGAAGGCGTACACACCACGTTCCCGAAGTGACGGTCCATGGTCTCCACGAAGAGATGAATGAATTCCAGAACCGCCAGCTCATTCTGCAGAGGGAAAACAAGGGTCAGTCCGACAACGAATGGCGCGAGCCAAATCACAGTTCAGAGATCCCCCACCCCATAGCGGGTTGGTATGATTCCCACGCTTCCATGGACACCATCTTCCTAAAAAAAGGGTTGTGAGAGTGGCGAACCTCTTCGTTATCAACGCCCACTAAGAAGAAGAGCGATGCATAGCGCCTGTAAACAACCTTGTAATTCCGATGCTCCACAAAGGAACACTGCAGCAGAAGAGAAGAAATCAGAAAAACCCAAACCAGAAGCAGTAAAGATTAAGCGTCCCGTTATAAAATGCATCAATATCAGCATAGGAAGGCACTAGACTGCAAAAAAGAAAAGTAGGATAGAAAAAAAACTTCTGTTTGAGGTGTACCCTGCAGATGAACGAGTTTCCTAGATCACGGAATGAAAAGGCACACAAAAGTCAACTGTTTACAGACTTGGGTTCCAAGGTTTACCTTCCCACAAGTCTGGAGAATGCTCACAGCCGAGGGCACATAGTTCACAGATCTGAGAATGTTTGGTGTATTTGAGAGACTCGATGGAGAAGAGACCGTGAAGACCTAAAGACTCAGGGTACTTGGGAAACTCTCAAGCCTCTGTGGGCCTAGGAACAAGATAGTATGGGTAGTTCTCTGGAGACACCGGTGTCACCATTAAAGACACTGAAGAAGCCCCTTAGATCGCACTCCAAGTGACTCTGGGACCTCCAATGCAAAATATAATTTTACAGAGAGAAGAACCACAAATGATAAGAGAGGACTGTTTTTCAATGCTTCAATAAGGATCACCAACACCCTAACCAATCCATAGGAGTAAAAGGTTCTCATGAAACCAATCAGGGGGCCTAAATCAGCACAAAGAAAATCATATTCCAAGAATACCATCTTAATTCCTGTCAATAAGCAGGTATTTCCAGACTCCAAACAACGAGTTCTGCAGCATTTTGTTTCCTTTTGTCAAGTTGATTATCTGGTTGAATGAATTTTCGTGTTTCAATCTGATAAAAAAGATACCAAAGAAGAAGTTATGCATTTAATCATGGCAAATAAGCTTCAGAATTATTCACCACTGATGCCCCGCGTTCGGCACATATCAAGTTACATCATCCTTTCGGATGACTATTAGATTCACACTGTAAGCGCAGTTTCAAGAAAAACAGATCTTTTGGATGCCAAGGTCATTCCAAAGTAGCACTGGATAAACCCTGGTATGGACTAGGTGCCAAAGATCCACCAATAAATTTTTAAGGCCCGTTCCTACCCTAGATTGGAGTTGCTATATATGCCTCAAGATTGAAACAAGGTCGTGGTAATCTCATATCATATGAGGGCCTGTGCTTACGAAATCAATAGCACGAGCAGAAGAACAAGCATAGTAAGTAGACTATAATCCAAATTGCTTCGGTATCAGCCATAAAAAAATGGGTGAATAATTTATCAACGAAGGCAACTAAAACGATAAAGATGATCTGAACTGTCGTCTGTCCAAGGGATGACATAAGTTTGTTCGTGTCTCGAACAGAGTAAAGTCATCACCCGATTGCTTTCTAGTTGTCTATCTACATCTGATGAGAGTTTCGAGAGCCATAGATAGGACTATGGTCGAATCTAATGTTGACCAAGGGGATGAAAATAGGGAGTGAGCGATGGGTCCCAAAAGTGACCTTGCTGGTGAAATATGCTTTTGCACCACCCGATCCAATTGCCCAAAGATCCATCAATGCGCCGCTGCTAGCATGCTCAGGAAAGAACAGAACACGTGCAGAAATCGGCAAATTGTGGTGATTGGAGTAAGAAACCACACCGACGGAATTGGCCAAATTGGGGGATCTGCCATGGGACTAAATGCAAGCAACAAACAAGGAGAGGAAAGCAGGCCTCACTTCCCTCAATCTTGAGTATTTGAGGGGAGAGAGAGAGAGAGAGAGAGAGAGAGAGAGAGAGAGGAGACCTGCTGCTCAGTGCGCGTAAGGCATTTGCGTACGATCTCGCCCTCGAGAGCCCTCCGCTCCTCCAGAGTGAGGTACTCGTAGTACTGAGCCAGCCGTGTCTGGCCCTGCTTGTTCACAAGGAGCACGAAGCGGATCCCCATTTCCCCTTCCCCGTCCTCCTTCCTTCCTTCCTCCCCTTGCCAGCCCTGCGACTTCTGAAACGTTTAGCTCTCCCTGAAGCTCCCTCTCAGACGGAAGAAACACAGCCGTGTCAATGGGGAACTGGGCGGATCGAGCAATGGCCTTTATTTGGGCCCAACACTACGATCCAATTCGGCTCGTCCCACTTTTGGGCCTAACTGCTAAGATCCAGTCTGGCCCATTACCAACTCTCTCTCTCTCTCTCTCTCTCCCTTCTCTCTCGTCCCTCTTTTAGGTAGAGGTCTACCCCAAAATCTCACCGGCGGGAAGAGGGGAGACTGAAAATGGTATATGTACAATTACGTTTCAAAAAGGGGTTAAAGGAAACAGATCATCACGGGAGCCGCTTCTCTCTCTCTCTCCCCCTCGAGATCTCACCGGCTGTTAGAAAGGAGACTGGAAAGGGTACAAGATGAAATGTGAAAACGTTTCAGGGGCTGAATCGCAAAGTCGCACCCACGGGAGCCGCTCCATCCCTGCCCTAGGCGCTGCTCCTGCTGCTCACTCTGCTCGTGGGGAAGGAGACGGAGACAGAGACGGATGATGGAGATGGAGGGGAAGAAGCGGCTGGTGGCGGTGGGATTTGAGGGCTCGGCGAATAAGATCGGTGTGGGGGTGGTCACCCTCGGCGGCGACATCCTCGCCAACCCTCGCCGGACCTTCGTCACGCCGCCCGGGCAGGGCTTCCTCCCGCGGGAGACGGCGCACCACCACCTCCGCCACCTGCTTCCCCTGCTCAAGTCCGCCATGTCGGAGGCGGGAGTCACCACGCTCGCCGATGTCGACTGCCTCTGCTACACCAGGGGCCCCGGCATGGGGGCGCCGCTGCAGGTCTCCGCCGTGGCGGTGCGGGTGCTCGCGCAGCTATGGAAGAAGCCGCTCGTCGCCGTCAACCACTGCGTCGCACACATCGAGATGGGGCGGGCCGTGACGGGGGCCGAGGACCCCGTGGTCCTCTACGTGAGCGGCGGGAACACGCAGGTGATCGCCTACAGCGAGGGCAGGTACCGGATCTTCGGGGAGACCATCGACATCGCCGTAGGGAACTGCCTCGACCGGTTCGCTAGGGTTCTTAACCTGTCCAACGACCCCAGTCCCGGATACAACATCGAGCAGGCATGCCTCTCTCTCTCTCTCTCTCTCTCTCTCTCTGCCGCCCCGCCCTGCTCCTCGAACATTCGCCTCATTCTTCTCGAATTATTTATTGCTCGATGAGATGTCTTATACAACCTAGGGATTTTGATCACCTCGAGAGATTCCTGGGAACCCAGAAGGTGTCATCTTTATGCTCTGCTCGTCCATTAGATCGGTTCCTGTGATCCTGTGCAATCAATCTTGTGCTAAAATATAGCGAAGATTTCTGGTTTCCATCACTGATATCCCAATCTTCCAGCTCTGAAGCAACTTACAAGAGAAGATGCATCTTTCATTCAATCCTGCTAAACTTCGGGTTTATATGTTCATTGAAATCTAATTTTGCTAACCCATTAAATCCATTTCTGTGTTATTATGTAATCCTCTGCTTAAATCATAGTTAGGAATTCCACTGAATTGGTTTCATTGATCATATGCAATCATCGGCTATAAAAAGTCTAGACAGGATTTCTGGCTTTGTATTATCTGGGGCCTTCCTATATTCATAGAGATCGAGCTGAGGCTTCTGGTGTATACATTATGCTTGAACTTCCTTTTGTCAATGGGGCATCGTCATTATGATTCAGAATTAAACCTTGATTGATCTGAATCTGAGGAATCGTGTTGGGTCCTCCAAAATAGAAGCTGAGGTGGAAATTCGGAGGTGTTTGTGGGATCTGCCGCGCATCCCCTTTCAACCGTCGTATAATATTTCCGTCCACTTTAAATACCTCAGATATCAGCATTCCATTTGATTTCTACTCATTTTACTCGTCCAAATGCAGCATTCATTCCTAAACTGGGCATTAATATGTTGTTTCAGGGATTTTTAAATAGTGCAGAGAGCATCTTGTTCATCTTTCCCTACGTTTACATCCACCCTCATCACATTTTTGTGTATATCTGATGGGATTACACTTGGGTTCATGCAGCTTGCCAAGAAAGGAGAGAAATTCCTTGATCTTCCTTATGTGGTCAAAGGGATGGATGTTTCCTTCAGCGGGATATTGAGCTACATCGAAGCTACTGCCGTTGAGACGCTGAAGAGCAATGAGTGCACTCCAGCAGACTTGTGTTACTCCTTGCAGGTAAATGAGGGAAAACCATTCAGAGAACCCCCTTGTAGTGTTCAATGCAGAAACTTTCTGTCTTAGTCAACCTTCTGACCAGTTGAGGATTCCACAGGAGACCATATTTGCAATGCTGGTGGAGATCACCGAGCGCGCCATGGCCCACTGTGACAAGAAGGACGTTCTCATCGTTGGTGGAGTGGGGTGCAATGAGCGGCTGCAGGAGATGATGAGAACGATGTGTTCTGAGAGAGGCGGGAGGCTGTTTGCGACTGACGATCGTTATTGTGTAGATAATGGGGCCATGATAGCATACACTGGTCTCCTGGCCTATGCACACGGAATTAGGACGCCTCTAGAAGAGTCTACATTCACCCAGAGATTTAGAACAGATGAGGTGGAGGCCATCTGGAGAGGGGATATCCTGGCAAAGGCCAACGGGCTGGATGGCAAAGTAAGTATCGTTGACTGAGTGGGCCATGGATGAGATACTATATATAGATTTTGTTTGTATTTTATAATGCCCATGATTTCTAGCATGTAGAACTTGAGTACAGGAGTCAGTGTTGAATCTGATACAGATCTAGGTGGAGATTTGATTTTACTGACTAAATGAAATGAGCCCAAACTTTAAGATAGCATGAAGAACTCGGCTATATCAAATGTCATGTGTTTGGAATCAGGGCCAAGGGATTGGAGACTACGATAAAGCCAATTTTAATTCCTTGTAGGCAATAACTCTGCTCTTTGATACAAAGGTCAGCATAGATTAGATATTCATCCTTACTGGCAGAACATGAAGTCATTCAAGAACCATAAACTCTTGAAAGGGAAAATTACAACAAAGGAGATGTAAGATCCAGTTACATGCCTGCAATGCTGCAAAACCGAGCGGAGTAGAGGCTTTGGTCTGGATTCTGGGAGAGCACACATTGCCTTGTTCTTTCTGAAACAAACGATAAAGTCATTAACAAGGTTGTATTATGAACAGAAAAGTAAACAGTAATAGAAGATATGTAGCATTATACTTGATCTTCCAAGTTAGGAGGTTATTTGTGGTATCACAACAGCATGATATGAGGCTTCCATTTTAGTGAAAGAATAGACACCAAGGTATAAATAAAATCGTAAGATGTTGTCCCATAACAAATCTATTACTGTTCCATAATATGATTAAAAATGGTTTATCAAGGTTTATTATGGAAATATTATTGGGTTAATCTTTGTTCGGCCAGCTAGCCCTCATGAAAGTGAAATTATCATTTAAAAAAGATAAGCTAAATAGTAATAAAAGCGTGCATGACCTGAAGACATTCGTTTGTAGCATACATGATATTATATTGTACCATGATCCTTTCACACTTGAATATTCAAGAAAAATAAAATTACTGGTCCATAATTTGGTGCAGTGATTATTTCGAAAGCCCTCAACCCATCAGATAAAGAAACCCCATTAATTTACAATAATTAAGCACAATGAGAGATGCTGTGACAGCCAAGCAATCTCGGATATCATCCCAATAATGGGCTCACTCATCCCGGTGTTGGACGGTGACGGAAGTACACCAACCAAGCTTTCATCTTGGAAGCTATGGTTGCTAGCTGAGTCGGAGGAAGCCATAGCAGTCAAGCAATCCTTCAGTTGTCTCACAACATCACTCATGCTCGGTCGTTGCTTTGACTTGAGTGACGTACATGCTGTTGCGACCTCAACTGTTTTCCACACAGAATTAATATCGTATTTTTTTACCTAGGAGTCTCTGATCGATAATAGTAGTGATATCACATGTTTAAATTTGTGCTTGGATCCATGAAACTATTGACATTTTCTCTAAACCATTGATAATTGGAGGCTGCCCGGTTATCGTCTCTACCAGTACGACTCCAAAACTGTAAACGTCAATTTTTTCATTTAATTGAGACGTTTGATAGTATCTGCCATCAAACGAGTTAAAAATTACTGTTTAGTATCTAATACACTTTGAAAATATTTAACCGATGAAATTAGAAATTTAGATGAAATGAAAACGTACTCAGGATCGAGGTAGCCCGGAGTTCCAGCGATAGCCGTGGATGGATTACACCTTTCATCACAGAAAATTCGAGATAGTCCAAAATCAGCTAATTTTTCCGTAATGTGGTCATTTAATAAAATATTTGCGCTCTTCACGTCTCTATGAATTATCGTTGGCTCGCACAAGTCATGCAAATAATTGAGTCCTGCAATCACAAATTTCATCAACTATATAATGTAAAAGCAGCCCGAAATAAATAAAAAGAAATAAAATTCTAGAATTTATCAACGGACCTTGTGCAACATCAACCGCTATCCTCAGTCTGATTTTTCCAACTTAAAACATTGCTCCCACAGTTGCTATCTATATGTAGGAAATTAAACATTTATCACGTAAAAGAAAATGGACATAAGTGTTTAGAAACTAATGGCACAATACTTCTTAAACCACTTTAAGCTCAATTACCAGCCAAATGTGTTGCAAGAGAGCCTTGAGCCATAAACTTATAAACAAGTGCCAGATTATTCCGATCTTTGCAATACCCCAATAAAGATTCAAGATTTTTGTGGTGGATTCTTGTTAATATTTTTGCCTGAAATAAAAGCAAAAGCAAAAAATTAGCCGAATGACCAAGATTCTAACTAAGCCTACCGTAAGTATTTAACTTTAAGTTAAATAACTTGCCTCAGCTTGAAATTCTTTCACTCCTTGATTTGATGATATTGAAAGCAACTTTACTGCAGCCTGGGTTCCATCTTGTAAGTTTCCAAGGTAAACAATTCCAAATCCTCCCTTACCAATCGGATTTGTATAGTTTTTTGTGATATTTATAATTTCACCCAATGGAGTCCGAATGCACATTTTTCCTTTGATTCCCCATTCCTTGGCCCATTATTTTTTACGGAAAAGAAATAAATTTTAAAAAATGGATACCGAAATAATTGTACATGATAATGAATAGTACACAAGACAAAATGGGAAACGATCATCATAGATTTATTGAGTACCTGGGGCCATACCTGTAGTGATGTCTTGCTTCTTCCTTCTAAGTCTCCAGATAATAATAAAATCTAAGGCCAGTGCAAAAACAAAAAAGGCTGCTGCAGCAATTGAAATCGGCAAAATAATCCCCTTTTTCCTTTTCCTTGACTCACACGAATCCACTTTTTTGCAAAGCTTTAGGTTGCCCCCAATAGTGAGCTGTCCAGAGTTAGACTTTGAACAGCAAAAATATAACCAGTAACTTATGAGCTTTCAGAAAAAATATGTAATAAATACCACTGTACTGTGAACACTGGATTAAATACATCATTTGAAAGGACTCCTATGAATATAGGATACACAGCATACACTTCTATTATCTAGTATCACAAAAAGGGTATGATTTAGAACAATGAATAAATAATAATTAATTTATGAGCTTTCAAAAAAAATTATAATAAATATCTCCGGACTATGAACTCCCGAATAAATACTTCATTTGAAAGGATTCCTAAGAATTTACGGTAACAGCTTATGAACTTTCAGAAAAAAATTAATAAATACCATTGGACTGTGAACACCGGATTAAATACTTCATTTGAAACGATTCTTAAGAAGTTACGATACATAGCATTCACTTTTATTATCTAGTGACACATAAAACGAATGATTTGACCTATTTTCAAGGTTTAATGTCAGAGACATTTTAACTTTTTTTTTTATTACATTAATGAGATATTTTCTTATGTAAGACATTATAAATATAAAATCATAAAATTTCATTTTTTATTTCATCATTCTGTATCATCATTAGAGTTATCCTTTATGCACGCATCTTAAAACAGCATTTTCGACTGCCTTAAATAGTTACAAAGTTTAAGAACTAGAAATGATACAATCAAATAAGAATGGAGAAAGATGATAAGATATTTTCATCAATTATATCCTTAATTATAATAGTGTCATATTGCCTTTTAATTATTTACAAGCTAAATAGTTGTTAGCTGAATGTAATGTAGCTTCAGTACATATCAAATTTCTAGCACCATCTAACGTACAACAAAGTATTAGTTTCATCATTGATAATTATGAAAGAAAGTAACTGGAAAAAAATGGAATGCACCCGCTTGGTCAAAAAGGTAAATTCTGTTCTTCAATTTTTTCAGTAGATTTCTTCTGAGGCAAGCCATGTTTAAAGTAAATGTATTACGCAACTCTCCAGCTCATGGTATGTGGTTATATTAGTAGATGCGTCTACAGTTTCCATAAGTTATTGAACTTGATTGTCTTTGACCATATAAAAGAATACTTGGAAAACATTTGCAAATACACGCAATTTATTGGTATTGTTATTTTCATTTTTACTATAAGCATATTCTATTTAGTTTGAATGAAATTATGGTTCACTTTTGTAAATGATAGACCAACCTTAATCTGAGTACGCCAGCTTGTGATTTTTCTAAGAGGATCTTGGGCACTAACCCGATCAATTGGTTGTCAGCCAAGTTCCTACAAAGATACAAGACTAAAGTAAAAAAAAATCTTTATGCTACGAAAATCAATAAGGTAGTATATAAAAATTTACATGACTTCAACTTTTGTCAGCTGTGCTAGATCGCTCGGAATTTCTCCAGTTAGGTTGTTATGTGATAAGTCCCTGAGAAGAAAAGTGCCAACTTGTGCTTAAGCGGTGAATGATAACTGTGAAACTGCGAAGATTTACGCTATTCCTTGGACAGGGGCTACTCAATATTGTGACACACCGCTTTCCATTTTCCCAAGGGAATGAAACACATGATCAATTGTTGAAAATTTCACAGGTTTATTTAGACAAAAAAGAACTTAGAAGGAATCACCGCTATATCATTATCATTACCAAGAACCTTTTGTATTAGATATCATGTCTACCATTCATATTCTCATCTTCTAGTAGATATTCCCGATCCTCGATTCTCCTTGGTGGCTTCATAGATAGGTCTTAAGTGAAATCAAGCTTTAATTCAGTCAATCGATTTAGGGACGAAAACCAAATAAAATTTAGAGTTCCAACCGGCCTCATTTTGGCTCCAGTGTTAGGTCCTTGACACCTTCGTTTTTCACACAGTGCTTAGGGTCCCGTTTTCACAACTCAGAAATAGGATGGTAACTGTAGTTAACCGCATACATGTAAACATCTTGACGTCTTAATAAAATTATTCCCTAGATTTTCAAGAAATAACTGTACATTATTCTATCAATTTGAATAAAAAAATAATGCAACCGTAAATGGAACGTCTTAAAGACTTACAAAGATATCAGAGCGGCTAGATTTGCTATCGAACGACAAATTCCTAGTCCAAATCCATGACGAGACAAGTTTATGCAAGAAAGAAAGAATGGCAAAATGTCTTTATTATCTAGTACATGCCTGAAGTTAACTCTCCATAACTTGTTTTCCCACTTAAGGATCTTACAACGAAATTATACTTGGGTTCTTGAACTCATTGTAACTGCAAGTGAGGCCGTCCCAGGTGAGATTCCGCGGGACGCATGGATCCTCCATCCAAGTCCTTAGTTTATAAAACTTTTTAACCTCGGAGATGGCATCAACTGCTATCAAAATTTGTACACTGACTGAGAATACATCACAACCAGCAAAAAAGAAGTATGCAAAGGAAATTAATGAAAAAAATGTTCATGTAATATGACTCCAACCAGAAAAAAAATATATTATTGCACGTAACAAATACAGTTAATGCTGCTGTCTTCTGTAAAGCGCCACTGTTTCGACCTTTCGTTTTTTTCTGCGAAAAAATCTTCGTCGTTGGCGGCCTGATTATAAACATGGAGAAGAGGTTCGCTACTTCTAATTATGTTTGAGACAAAGAGATGACCAAAGAAATGAGGCAGAGAAATTAGAATAATTTAGAGGACAATGGAACAGGGGCGAGGACCTCACCGTCAGCTGCATCAGTAGGAATCGTGTTCATCTGCACCATATTATACACTTCAAGCGCGTTGAGGAGGGGAGGATGGGTGGCGCTCGCTGTAGCCCGAACAGAGTAGGTCACCGTCCCTGTCTGCCCAGGGGGGAGAACATATAAGTACCATGACTGCAGGTACTTCAGGTTGTTTGGCCCGTGGAACTTGGTTCCATTCCAGAGGATTTCGAACTCCCTAGATTCCTGAGGCTAGAGCCGTTGGATCTCGGCGAAATGCATGATCACATGAATATGTTTCTCTTCGCTCGCGCCAACAGTGAAGTTTATGCCCTAGGAGAGCGATGACGCCGTCACAGCGGTTCTCAAAACAGCGGAGGGCGCACGGAACTCGTCGTTGTCGGTGGAATTAACCTCGTCCTCGGTTCTAATCGGTGTCCACCCTGTCTGGTTATCAGCGGGAAACCAGATGCGATCATGTGGGTCGTAGGGGTACCTGAGGATCGGATTATAACAATTGAAATCGCCGTTTAGTTACCACAACCAACTGGACAAGACTGGAGGATCATAACCCCTATGCCGTAGCGAGAGAGAGAGAGAGAGAGAGAGAGAGAGAGAGAGAGAGAGAGATCATAGAAGGAGCCAGACCGCATTGTCTCATTGCCGCCATGGTTCGTCCGCATATCCCGGAAAATCAGCAATAGCGATGCGTTCACCAACGGACACATGGTATCCGGAAGTGGCCTCAATTCTAGTGCCGTTAAGTAGGGAGTCCCGTTCTCCGTGTTGACGAGGCATACCTGTATGGACTTGCTCTGCGCAACGACGATGATCTCCAGTCGGGACACGTTCCGTCGGGCAACGGTCTTCCAGAATTGGACGCCGAAGTAGACGTCGAATGATGGCGGCTGATTCCGGCCGTCGTAGTTCCAGTAACTGAACAGAGCCCTCACCAGGTACTTGCTGCCCCTTATGACGGGTCCCAACGTGTAGCAGTTCCGAATGCCCTCGGAAAGTTGCGCAGGGTCGAATAGAACCGGCGCAAGCTCGACATATCAAATTCGGGGGAGACGATCTGGTTTACTCCTGTGTTGATGTACTCGGCATCTGAGGCGTAGATGATGCCGTTGCTCGGTTCCAAGTAGCGAGAGTCGCTCTCCAGGCTGCAGTCTATGCTGATGAACCCTGGGAGAATAACCAACTTCGGCTTAGATTCAGCCGAGTTTAGATTAGAATTTATTTTAACGAAATTTGTTTGTCTGGAGATAGCCGTTTTTGGGCGTATTCTGATTGTCCAAGCTTAAGCGTTCTCTTTTTACTCCGAGATATCAGAATACACCTAAAAACGGCTATCTCCAGACACAAATTTAGTAAGATTACGTTGAAATCAATTCTAATCTAAACTCGGCCAATTCTACGAGATTGTGGCATGAGAACAGAGATGAAGGGGGAAAGTATGAGAAGGAAGTGCGGCAAAATCTAACGTACCAGTCTGGAGTAGGTCCTGTGCTGAACCCGACGGTGCCAGGAGGCCCAGCAGCAAAACGTGTACCCACATCGCAGCAGTCGGCTGCTACGTCTATCGTTTTGATGCGGTGGATAACCGACTGTGATCTCCTGCAGATGGTACCCTCGAATGGTAAGATGGCCCGGAATCAGAAGCGACCCACAACCATGCAAGGACCTCTCGACAGGGAATGGCAAAACCTCCTGCCGAATCCCTCGAGGAGAATCAATAGATGGCATGGCAGGAGATGACAAAACCTTTGATGTTGGCTTGTATGATCAAAGAAGACCAATGAAAGGCGGCCAATACCCGTATATCTGGAATCGTTCAATCGTATATCCAGCGAAGAATGTCTCAGAATCAGAGGATACAAGCAACCATGAACTTCGCCGAAATCTCTTTCTAGGAGAAGCAGGTCGATGGGTCGGGGGAGGAGAGCAAGTCTAGGACGTTGATGTCTATTATTAAGGACGGGTAATGCACGGATGCCCGTTGCCCGGTGGACTTGAAATCCATCACCGAATAAATATGACTTAAATTCTCAACAAATATTTAGTACAACAATGATAGCAGAACTATCTATTTACTTGGAGTAACTTTGAAGATGCGTCTGATTTCCCTCCTCTAGGCTTTTCAGCCTTGAGTATTTTCAGTTTCTTTAAACATCAACCTCCTACATAGAACAATCCTAAATACGTGAATGCTACTAGATCCGAGCGGATGAGGACTCAGACTAGGCTTAAGTTTAGCAATTTGACTTAATGATGTGACCTTTGAATAATATAGGGCCTACAGAGGATACAGTCCGTGGAGACCCGGCGCAGAGGCATTTATGGGGTGGGTTGGGACCGCTAGTTTATGGTCGGTTCAATATGTCTAGATTGACACCTAGGCTTAGGCTCGACTTGGTCTTCCATCTGAGCCCGTTGACACGCGCTAGGGTTGGAGTCTGGGAGGCGTTGGACGAAACCCTGGTGAGTCTGGGTAAAATGTAGGGAGCTAGATGATAAAAATGTGTAGTCAACGGTAAATCATGTTTCTAGCTACGCCGATGTAGCATACTTTGTCCATCAGATGACATTCGCTTAAGGATAAGAAAGAGACACCTCGCAGATCAAACAACCCGAGCTAAGAAGCATGTTTTCAAGGTTTATCATGAGCTTTTATTAGATGTTCCCACGCTGATGAGCATGAAGATGAATTCCTCGGAAGTGTTTGAGCAATTTTCCATGACAGCTTTCCACGTGAGTTTCATAGCATCCCCGAAGCGTTCTTCAAACTTTTCAACGTGTCTCAACTTGGAGGTACGTTATGTTTACTTTCACCTTTTCTCTGATTCCAAACGATAATGTTTGGTCGATCTTAAAACTTTAGATAATCAAACAAGATTATAGTCACCTCCAAACTAGGCCATTCCAATTATTTGATACAAATTCATGGTTGAAACTGTAAGATTTTCAATTATGGTGAGAAGTAGGATTTGGGATCAAGAAAGAGTCCCAAATTATCCTACCGAAATCATGCTTGAATTATGGATTAAAATGACCTTAAGTCGTACATTTTGACTCCATTTTACGAAATGTTGATATGCATAAACGTGTGGAATCGCATGCGACTAAGTGGATACTTCCATCGTTGTTGATGGGAGCTTTAGAAGGCCAAAGACATCACCATCAGTGTTGCGTTTCTGTGGCCGAGAAGAAAAAGCTGTTGAGGTGTCGTGGAACATGAGATTTAATATCAGCTCCAAGCCGATCATCGTGAAAATGAGTCATTGCGCACATCGATTATTCGTGCCAATTCTCAAAGTTCTCCAAATTAAAGGTCCATTAAAATTTGTGCCAGGAACTCTGACACAACTTTATATCATGGAATATCAAGTTTTCTGCGTATGAAGGGTTCCACTTTGTAAGTGAAGTCCTTCTCCGCAAGATCAATGTATAATAATCTGTCTTACCACAGCAGATCGTTGGTACCTTGCCTATACCAGGTTTTATCCAGTGCTACTTTGGAATGACCTCTGCATCCAAAAGTCCCACCAGTAAAATTTTAAGCCCCGTTCCTACTCTAGATTGGAGTGCAGAAATGAGGTCATTTGCCTCCAAAATCAATAATACGTGCATATGAACGACAATACTAGAATATACTCCATATTCCTTCAGTATCAGCCATAAAATAATAAGTAGATAATTTATCAGCTCAGGCAGTTAAAATGCTAAAGATGGTCTGAATGGCCATTAGTCCAAGGAATGACACAAGTTTGTTCCTGTCTCGAACAGAGTTAATGCATTATCCAATTGCTTTCCAGTTGTCTACCTACATCTGGTGAGAATTTACAGAGCCACAGATAGGACTATGGACGAATCTAATGCTTGACTTAGGGGCATCAAAATAGGCAGCGATCAATGGGTCCCAAAGTGATTTTGAGGGTGAAAAATGATTTTGCACCACCCGTCCTAATTACCCTAAGATCCATCAATGTGGCGAGTAAAGCTAATTTCAGCGAGTATAGTAAGAAATAGCACTGACATAATCGGCCAAATAGGGGGATCTGCCATGTGATTAAAAGCAAGAAACAAACAAGGAGATGAAATAAGGCCTTGGGGCCCTATATCTGGTTTGGAGGAGAGAGAGGAGAGGGTACACGGTAGACAGAGGCGACCTACTGCTCGGTGTGGGTGAGGCACTTGCGTACGATCTCGCCCGCAAGAGCCATCTCTGTATGACCCTCCAAGTTTAGAAGAAGCACAAGGGGAGATGACCCAACTAAAGGAAAGGTGTCCCATGACACTTTGGCCACCCCACTCTCCCCCTATTTATAGAGGGGCCCTGTAGAATCCAAGCCATTGAAGTTTACGTCCATTTATATAAGGGGTAGTGATGGACAGTAAAAGTGGAACGCATGGCCAGAGGCTCACTTAGCTGGAGAAGTGAGTAACCTCTCTGGTTAGCATAGTGCGAGCCACTGAAGCTCGTATCTATGAGCATCAGGCGCACGTAGAGTATTTCCAGGTGGCTGCAGGGGAGGCAGTCGCTAACTTGATGTGGGGCAACTGCACTGAGATGGAGGAGCTACACAAGGTCTATTGAAACCTCACCTCTGACATGGAGCTACTGAAGCGCCTTATTTCAAACACACTAAAAGGGAGAGATGCTTCACAGTAGGTCCCTAAACCCAGTTCACTTGTGGAACTTTAACTATTACATTCATACAGTCCAAACTTCTAAACAAGACAAAGTTATGCTAATAAGCATGTACTTGAGGAGTGACACCAAACTTTGGTAGCAAATGTGGATGAAGGACAAAGCTAGGGATCCCTCAACAATTAGGCAATGTTTTTTCAAGAATTCAAAAGACAATTCTTACCTACCAATAGCACCTAGATAACATGTGACTCCGATAGTTAAAACACATGATTAATAAATCATGTCCTCTTCTAATTTTATGATGGGTTAAATTAGAAAAGGACACCAAAGGGCAAACCGCCCCTTTGTTATAAATAGGGGGTCATGATCTTTGGATCATACATTGAAAGTCACTCTTGGAGCATCCCATCTCTCTTTGATAAAGTCATTGATACCTCCTTTCTATTGATCCAAAAGACTAACCTAATTCGTGAGCCTTATGGATTCAGGTATGATTTCAGATTCACTCTCATTTCATTGTTATCGTTCTCTACTATCTGAACACTAGATCCTTCATTTTCATCAAGTGGTTATAGAGCTTGCTATGTTGAGTTTTGGAGAATGACATATTATTCATATTCTTCATTTATCTTAGTATCATTTTGAGAATGAATTTCAAATTCCATCGGATGACCACCATAAAGTTTGAGGTGGATTTTGGCATCCAAATGCCTTATGAATTGTACAGGCGTCCCATGTGGCAAACCATTATGTTCTGGGCTTACCATGGACAGGCCTGTGTAGACGGGCTCCTAGACCATCGACCTGTCTTCTTTCCCTATAGAGGAGGAGCGATAGTTTCCGCACACCTCTTTCTCGCTCTTTTCCCCAAAAGAAGATTTTCATTTGGAAATCGAAGGGCTACAAGATGAACCCACCTATTCCACTTTCTGCCTTTCTGTCGTCGGATGGAAGGTTGGAGAGCGGTGGACAGCAGTTTCAGATGTCCAGACGTTGGAGGTTCTGAAAGGTGAAGAGAAGGTGCTGGACGGCTGTGAAGGAGGAATGCTGGAGGGCGGCGTCAAAGGACGGTGGGCCCGCAGGCTTCTGCACGCCCCCTCCCCATTTCGGTTCTCCCCCATTGCCAAACGACAGTTTCCGATCGCTCTAGAAATCGGTGGAGGGATGTGGGGCGAACGGGTGGGCGGGTGTCCACCACTTTCTCCATTTTCGAATGGGTGGCCGTCTCGGCCAGACTGTTCAAGCCCTAAGGCAGCAAAATCCCCGAGTTTCCCGCTCCTGTTTGGGCCGAGTGTGACATGACTCAACCAGCTCCTCCCTTCCCACGTTGGTTTCGCAAGAGATGGAGCACACTGGATGGGAGAGGAACCGTCACGCAGCAGTTCGGGCACCGGTTTACTCGGAGCTCACCCAGCATTTGCTCTCCTGACGTCAATGCCACTTAAAAAATACATATATTATTTTGGAAGTCATTTTATTTGTTTCTGAAATTATATTATTTATATTTATTTTAGAAATTATTTTTGATGTTATTTGATTTTCTCAATGATTATGTTTACATTGAGCCTGCTTAAATGTCAAATAATTTTCATACTTCAAATCTTAGTACATGTATTGGTTTAAAACTATTGATTGAAGCAACATTCTATCAAAGTAGACTTTCTTGTGGAGATTAATTATTCTAACGTATGAGATATTGTGTTTGTGACTCATGTAGATATTAGTTGACCCAAAGGAAAGTTTATTTTACAAATTACATAAGCTTGTCATAATAAATATGTGACAATTATTTGGTATTTTTATGTGAATAATAAGTCAATCCAAAAAAGAATATTTCAATTGTGTCTTTTATTATTCACCCACATTTTCCTCACCACGAGAACACCCCCTCTCTCTCTCTCCACCGTCACCACATACCCCATTTTCTCTCTCTCTCGCCGACACCCTCTTATTCCACCCTTTTTCACTCCCTACCTTTTCTTTATTCTCATCATTATTTTATCCTATTATTTCATCTTATTACTGGACCTTATTTATATATTACTCCTCTTATATTTTTAATTATCTAAATACTTTGTGAACCTCGGCTACCCAATCCAAACTA